CCCGAGGGACCGTGTGGGGGTGGGCAGGGAGGGGCACCCCGAGGGACCGTGTGGGGGTGGGCATGGGGTCCGGCCCGCTCAGATCCCACGGCGGAGAGCCGAGCTGGAATGGAATGGAGCCTTCCTGAGCAGGAGAGCGGCGTGACTCCAGATTAGACACGTGTGTGCTCGGCGCTCCGTGACACCAACAGCCCCCAGGGCTCCTTGGCAGCAGACGGCCGGCACCAGGGCACCAGCCCACGGGAGTCCCCACCCGTAAGGCTCCCGAGGGTGGGGACGGGCGTCTCGTGCACCCTCTCACCATGCATGTCCAGGCGAGAACTACGAAAACCTGACTAAGCCCTGGGCCCACCTCGGTTGCCAGGAGCAACGGGAAGAGGCTCGGCCCATGGGCCTTCTGGAGGGACCTGCATCCCAGGTCTTGGGCAGATGTGTGTCTCCCAGGCCCTGCCCGGGCCCCGCAGACAAACTCAGGCGATCCCGAGACTGCAAAGGCGTCCGTGTGAAGACAAAGCACCATCTTCCCGAGCCAGTGGGAAACAGCGCCGTCGGGGCAGCTGCCCACCCCTATGGGCCCCGGCCCCGGCCCACATCCGCTCATCTCTGCAGAGAGCCCTTCGCTGTCCTCACTGCCTCACTTCCTCCGTGGGTGGGGACATGGGCCGCTGTGCAGGAGGACAGGCCGCAGCACGACGGTGTGGCTGGCTGGCTCCCTGGCCCGTCAGCCCCTCTGCCCTCCAGCCTCCACAGTGTGCCCCTCCCCGCCCGCCCCGCTGGCTCTCAGGGCAGAATAGGCGTCTTCTAGGACGGCTGTGCTGCCTCTCAAAGTCTGTCTCCGCACCTGGCTCTGCGGCCACCCAAGGCAGGAGTGGGGGATCCCGTGTGCGTATGGCCCGCCACTCCTGCGATCCCACCGGCCCTGTCTCGCCCAGAGCGTAAACGCCGGGGGGCAGCCTTGCCTGTCCCTGACAGAGCTGCCACAACAGCCTACCTCAGCCGGCTACTGTGCTGACCGCGAGGAGAATGAAGAGCAAGTCTCAGACCCCGGGGGCTGTCGTGGCTGGGCTCGCCCGGCCTGCATGGTGGGCTGTGGGCTCAGAGCTCCCAGGGAGCGGCAGTTCACTGCCACCGCCTCCTCACAGCTCCTTCTCAGCAATGGCCCTCGGAGCCCGGCCCTCGGAGCCCTGTCCTGGAGCCCGAGAAGCACCGAGGTGGCGGCGAGTCGGTACACCCCACGGCTGAGCTGCACAGCCTGGGGCCAGGGGAAGCGGCTGGGAAGACAGTGTGCAGACAGCCCCCGCGGTGGACGCAGCGCCGTAGGCTCCAGTCACCCCAATGCAAAGTTGGGGTAATCTGCCACCCAGGATGACAGGACGAGCTTGCACTCTCAGAGCAAGACCTGAGGGATGGGGCTAGCAGGTAGTGCAGTATTTAAGGCACCGGACTCCCACGTGTTTGAGTCCTGGGCCCGGCGGCTTGAAACTCATGCCAGGTGCATGTGCATGTGTGCTCAAGATCCCAAGAGGAGAATGGAGGAGGGATTGCAGCGTGGCCATCCTTCCTGTGGGGTGATTCTGTCTGTCTCTCTGGCGAGCACACGTGCCCTTTGGTAAAAATCTCTAAAAGAAGGAGCTGAGGCTGGGAGCACGGGTTTGCACCTCTGCACACTGCCGCTCACTGGCCTGTCCAGCCCTGACGGCAGGTACCAAGAGGGCGGGCAGGCAACGGCCCACGGCCATGCCGGCCGAACCCCGACCCTACCGGCTAGTAGCTGCCTCTGCACCCCAGCTCCCCGTGTCCACGGGGACAGCTGTTCTCCCATCCGAGGGGGGGACTCAGGCAGGTACTGAAAGGAACGGCGGGTGGGGAGTACCATGAGCCCACTGCGCTGGCCACGTGAGGGTGGCCCCATGGCTAAGGCCACAGCACAGAAGTGCTTCAACTGCCGGTGAGAGCTGGCGCCCGATTAAACGTGGACTCGATCTGTCTGCACTCCAAGTGCCGCTTCCCTGAGATAGCGAGGGTGGCCGCCAGTCCTCGGGAGATGCAGACGAGGCGAGGGTGCCGGCCACTGCAGCCTACCTTGCCGGGCCTGTCCTTGCCGCCGGGGCCGAGTGACTGCGTGTGCTGCTCCTGCTCCTCCAGCTCGGACTTGAGGTGCTCGATGTGCACCAGGTAGGCCTGCTCCTGCGCCTCCCGCGTGCTCAGCTTCAGCTCCAGCGCCTTCCTCTCCTTCTCCAGGAGGTACAGCTGGGCCTTCAGCTCCGCCATCTCCTCCTGCGGCGGGAGCACAGCGAGTCTGAGGCAGGGGGCAAGACGGCGGGGCTACCCCTCACCCTGTCCAGCCTCAGCCATCACTGGGTCCCTCGCTCAGAAGGGCCCGCACCGCCTGGGGAAGGACGGAAGCTGGGGGTCTGGCTCCAGACGGCCTTCTCGGAGCGATGGCCAAGGCCTGGCACACGTGCCTCCCGAGGTGCCAGGACACCCGCTGCATGCCTCCTCCTAGGGCGGGGACATTGGCCGCTGTGCAGGAGGACAGGCACCTTCCTTCCCTCAAGGACCAGTCGTGACAACCAGATGAGGGGCGCTTCCCCCCCCAGAAGCCTTGTCAGCTGTTGTCATCAGAAGCACATCGAGGTGGCCGGGCCTGCATGGCTGGGCCTCTGCTCAGCGTGCCACACGGTGCCGCAGCCGGGGCCGCCCGGCCCCTG